GGAAAGAACTAGGTGTGCAAACCACCACTAACTCCTCTACAAAAAACTAAGAGGAGGTTTCTAAACCAAAATGCACAAAAGTAACTACAACATACCCATGTACTTTTGTCAATGAGTAATTCAGGAAGGTGGCTCTTACTTGACTGACACATTATTTTGAACAGAGAGTAGGGAAACAACAGCAAATACTGGCTTGCCCTCCTCATGCTTTCCATGCAATATAAAGTGCAAATGGAACCAGGGTAAAAAGTACAAAAGGTCACATATTGATATCTTCAGGCACAGCCAAACGCGTGAATCATTTGCAGTGTCAAAGTGACCTGAAACAGCTTAGGACTTTTTTTTTTTTTTTTTTAGTGAGAAACCAACGCAGGACCTTGCAAGGACTTTCTATTAACCCAATATAAAATTTCCTTCCTGAGGTACAATTTGAATTGTTTACTAGGGTTTATTTTAATGACTTAAAGATGTTGAAATGAATATACTGACCTGGCTAGTGTAAGTAACTATGGGACACATATCTTAGCTGATTCTGGAATCTCCAAAGATTTCCAAAATAGGAAGAAAGAATAAAGGCAAGAAAAATGTTACATAAAATGGGTAGTATCAAAAAGAAAGGGTTGCCCATGATTGACTGGCATTATGCAAAACCAAAGTAACGTCAATAAGAGAAAAGTTCAAGCGATAATTCATGGTTATCTCATTTTATTAAAAAACATATTTCATTAAAAAAACGTATTTTATGATTCTTTAAAAAAAATCTTGTTTGCATATCTTGGATAAACATTGCCTATACGTACTCACATTGCTTGACTTTTTAGTTCTGCAATAATTCAGCCAGTACAGAACTGTTACCCTCCGCCCCAATCAAATCCTTATTCTAGCCTACAAAATTTCACAATTCCAAAAACCATGACGCATGAAGTAACTGTTTTTGTACCTAGAAGACGAAAGCTGGTTTTAAAATCATTTCAGCCTATTTCTCAAAGCTTGAATTCTGTTGTTTAACCAAGATTGGTTATTTGCATTTGGAAAATGATTCATTTTGCAAAACACCCAAGTGAAAATACTATTTGGCAAAAACTGAAAGCTATCCGTTCATGACTTTCAAATATTCTATATGTAATCGCATCCCTCTCTTTCAATATTCTCTTTTTGGGGACAGAAAGTTAGCCAGGTCATTTCTGATCCTATACAACAATTTTACACGAGTTCAATAGCTACCTTGGGGACTAGCTTGAATCATTTGCTAAACTGTAATAGTTTAAATTTATAAACTTCAGAAGGAAGATAGCTTTTGAAGCTGACAAAAAAAAATTAGAACAGTACTCTTTTTGTATGCTGCTCAGAAATTCAGTTACAAAGTGGTCCTATTGTGTTTCTCTTAATTTACATTTACTTTTTTGGCACAACAGAAAGAAAAAAGTAAGAAGTCAAACTTGGAGGCATATAATAAAAATGAACGATGGCATTTTTATTTTAAAACGTCCCCTTGACATTTCGACATCCTTCAACCCAATATTTAACATTTATGGGAGATGAAACAGTAAAAGAAATAGCAGCTGCTTTTTTTGATGGCACTGAACAGATGTGGGGCCATTGTCCACCTCAGAAGTGGCACGTTGGATCTCTTCCTGGTGCCCATAAGAGTCCCTTTTAGAACCCATCTTGACCAGGGCCTCGCTTCTGTAGGTATGGCCAGAAAATAACCCAGGATGTCAAGAGCCCTGATGACTGATCTATGCAGATTCAAAGCAGTCATTTTCCCAAACAGATCAATACTATCCAAGGTGCAGCAGCAAAACAGGATGGCCTTGTGTCACCAAACAAACCGCATATTGCTTATTCGCAAGGGCCACAGCAACATGGCATTTGTGTTTTCCACGGTGTGTTTGCCAGTGACCTCAACCCTGACCTGCAGGACCTCCCTGTCCAGGGCAAGAAATGATCTTGGTAGGGTCCTCCTGGGTACCACAGGACTCAGGAATTTTTCACAGTTGAAAGCTACACATTCTGCTTCGACAGATGCCCAGATGCCAGAGCAACTAGTCAATGAAGTCTATGAAGCCAAGACTACTCTGAATATTTGATATTAGATTCTAAAAATAGAAATAGGATATTTCCTTTTTACCCAGACATTTTAGAATTTGAAATTGTGTAGCTACAAATATTAAAATAATTTTAAAAGTTCTTACACGATTTTTTCTATGTAGTACATAAGTTACCTTCATAAGCTGAATACTTTTGCGCAAACATCTTGATATTCTTCGAATAGCTCTCCCAAATTTAGCCACATAGGCCCTCCCCTCAAAAAAGTGTTATTTGTGTACAGTCCTTTTATGTCAACAGACAATATGTGCATACCCAAAATGAAGATTTAAGTCTAATAAGAACATGCGGGGTACATCACTATTTCTCTTGCTTACTGGTTTTCAAAAGGAGAAGTTACAGTCTTTAAAACAATGTTTTATGTAAAAACATTTCCTAAAAATGTACTGAGAATATACACTATAAAGCTAGACAAGACGACTTCATATACAATTGAGCAGGAAGAAATGGAAGCATTTTGTGTAGTCCTAGGATGAAAAGTCTAGAAAAAAAAGATCCCTGCTTCCAGTGGCTACCGGCTGATTCGGGGTCAAAAAGAGTATTCAAACGAGACGAAGATAAAATATTACAATTATGTCGGAGCCTTCAAAATGTTTTAATGGTCATCGGTAGCCACCACATCCAGTCATCCACCATGTACGATCTTTTACGTATTTAGAATGTTTATCTTCCAACACTAGACATAGGGTTTGATAAATCTAGCTAAAACAGAAGTTGTGTCTCTTGCTGCCAGGAAAAAACAAAATTTTTTTGGAGGCAAAAAGTCATGCCACATAATTTTTAGCTTTCCCCTTTCCTGTAAGTAAGTGTTCCCCGGAAGCAGGGGAGGAACTTCTAAGCGTAGAAAACAAGCTTTCCCTCCAGCGCATCGCTGTATAGACACTCTATCGGTGCCCGCCCTAAGAAGGAATACATTCAACGCTGGAACTCTGCCATTGAGTGGCGTCTCCTGCAAAGGGGACAGTTTGCTATTAATTGTTAATGTCGTCTACCATTAGAGGGCACTAAACAACTCCACATTAGTGCTCTGGAGAAAAGAGAGAAAGGAGACGGGAAGAAAGAGAGGGATGGGAGAAGAGGGAGGGAGAGACCCGCCGAGTCCGGCAGAGGGGGAAGAAAGACCTCCCGCAGGGGCGGAAGCGGGGCTGCGGGCAGGCGTGGGAGGCCGCGCTGCCCAGGAGCGGAGGGGGACGGACAGACGGCGACGAAAGAAGCCGGGAGGCTTAGGAGGGGTGCGAGCCCCCGCACCGTCTGAAGGGAGCAGAGCCCGGCTCCCGGCCGCCCGCGCCCGCCCCTGGTCCTCACGACGGCGATTGCGGCGGCGGCGGCGGGGTCACCCGCTTGCCCAGCCAGCCGCCCGAAAGCGCGCGGTGCAGGTGCGGCGGCCGCGGGCTTTGTGCTCCGGGCCCACGCTCAAAGGGGGGCTGGGGCCGGCCGCGAGGCACCCAAACAACTGTCTTCCAATATTAGCACGGCTGCATTTCGGGATCTATTATAGTCTGTCCAGACAGATCCCATTGTAATGGGATCTTTTATTAAAAGATTAGCACTATCTCCTGCAGTTGGTGGAAAAAAATCTGTTATCACTGAGTTATTTGCAGTTGTGGAGAGGGTGGGAGGGGGGCTGGTGGGCGAAGGGGTGGGGTGGGGGAGGGTCGAGAGGGGGAGGGGCGAGGCGGGGTTTGAAATCCGTCGGCGAACAAATCCCAGTGACCTGCAAATGTCCAAGAATTTCGTCTGCATACTTCGCAGTCTGTTGCCGTTCGGGCTTCAGAAGCGAAAAGAATGTAAATTTAAAAGGCAGCTTTGGAATAAACAATATAGCATTTTCCGTGAAGCAATCGTTTTTATATAAAAGGAAATCTCGCCTCCTCAGTTTCATTCAACGGTGCCAAAAATGTTATAAATGAGAGACCCGCCAACTTTCGGCGAAGAATGCCAGTCACTGTACTTCATAAACTGAGGCCACAGAAGTTCATTATCGATGTTGCAATCCTTTTTATTCCAGAGGGGGGAGAGGGAGGGAGGATCTGGGAGGCCGGGGGCGCCGCAAAGGACCCCGCGCTGCAGCCCGAGCAGCGGGCAGACCCCGACGTGGGCGCCCCCGCTCGGGCGGCGGCTGCCGGATGCGAAGGGAAGGGGAAGAAAGGGCGCGCGGGCCGGAGCGGGGGCGCGGGACGTTCGTGTCCGCTCCGGGATCGTCTGGCTGAGGGGCCTGCGCTCCGCGCCGCCCCGGGTGGAAGGCGTCGGGCCGGGCACGCGCGGACCCGGACCGGATCCCCGCGGGGTCCTGCGCCCGAACGCGGAGCC